GGGCCGGCAGGTGCCAATGGCAGCCCTGCCCGGCCTGCATGGGAGCAGCGACCTGGGCCGGCCAGGGAAGCGAGTCCCAACACCGGAAACCCCAAGCCCAGCTCCGCGGCCGGAGAGGGGACTCCGTAAGCTCTCGGCAGCACTGGGGGGAGTCTGCAAACAGCCAGTGGAGCGCAGGGAAACATGAAGGGATCGAGACTAAGAGAATCTCTCGTTGCTTCTCTAGACATCCACGGGAGGCCACGTCTTGAGGCGACCGCGCCTGCGCCCAGTACTCATCCACCGGAAACCCCAAGCCCAGCTCCGCGGCCGGAGAGGGGACTCCGTAAGCTCTCGGCAGCACTGGGGGGAGTCTGCAAACAGCCAGTGGAGCGCAGGGAAACATGAAGGGATCGAGACTAAGAGAATCTCTCGTTGCTTCTCTAGACATCCACGGGAGGCCACGTCTTGAGGCGACCGCGCCTGCGCCCAGTACTCATCGCCAACAAGATCTCTTGGCATTGGACAAGGCTCAGAAAAGGGCAACAAAAATGCCGAGGGGTTTGGAACGGCTGCCACACGAGGAGAGATTAATTAGACTGGGACTTTGCAGCTTAGAAAAGAGGAGACTAAGGGGCATAGGATAGAGATCTATAGACTCCTGAGTGGTGTGGAGAAAGCGAATAAGGAAAAGTTATTTAAAAGTTACTTAAGAACTAGGGGTCACCAAATGAAATTAATAGGGAGCAGGTTTAAAACAAACAAAAGGCCGTACTTCTTCTCACAACACAGTCAACCTGTGGAACTCCTCGCCAGAGGATGCTGTGAAGACCAGGACTTTAACAGGGTTCCAAAAAGACCTAGATACTTTCATGGAGGTTAGTACTACTAGCCAGGCAGGGCAGGGAGGGCGTCCCTGGCCTCAGTTTGCCAGAGGCTGGGAATGGGCGACAGGGGAGGGATCACGTGTGGATTCCCTGTTCGGTTCCCTCTGGGGCACCTGGCAGACAGGACACTGGGCTAGATGGACCTTTGCTCTGACCCAGTTCTTCTCTTCCATACCCAGGGATGGGCTGGCGGGTAGGGGAGGCTCTAGAACAGCCAAGCACATGGCCACAGCCTGCCGGGGTGAGGCCCCCAGCCCTGCAATGGGCGACCCACTGAGCTCACCTGCTGGACCTGCCCTGCATGCAGGATGCTGCTCTCTCCACTCAACACCAGCGGGCAGGGCTCCTCCGCGGGTGATGCTGTCCCCACCGGCTCCGCCTGCTCAGCTGTCTCGACACACTGCAGGGCCTGGGCTTCCTCCAGGCAGCCCGTCTGGGGGAGATGCCCACGCCGCAGGGGGAAGAGAGCAGAGTCATAGAACCGCAGGGTGGGCAGAGCCCTCAGGAGCCATCAGGTCCAGCCCCCTGCCCAGAGCAGGACCAGCCCGACTCAATCAGCCCAGCCAGGGCTTTGTCCAGCCAGGACTGAAACACCCCTAGGGATGGAGACTCCACCCCCCCTGGCTCCCAGGGAACCCAGCCCAGCGCTTCACCCTCCAAGAGAAATCATGTTTCCTAATATCCAACCTAGACCTCCCCCACTGCAACTTGAGCCCATTGCCCCTTGTTCTGCCACCTGTCCCCCTGAGAACAGCCTCTCGCCAGCCTCTCTGGAACCCCCCTGCAGGGAGCTGAAGGCTGCTACAAATCCCCCCTCGCTCTGCTCCTCTGCAGACTGAACCAGCCCAAATCCCTCAGCCGCTGCCCAGAAGGCAAGTGCCCAGCCCCCGAACCCTTTCGCTGCCCTCCGCTGGGCCCTCCCCACTTGC